CCCCCCCCCCCCCACACCAAAAAGCCGACTGACTTCTGACTGTTGCTAGGTGGCTCTCTCTCTTTTTAACTGATGGACACAGAAATAGCGCTCTTCCGACTGCGGTTATCCGGCACTCGTGTTTCCATCACACATGTAATTCAATCAGCCCGTCATCTGCGCTAATTCCCAACACATGAGCAGCACCGGTATAATCATAGCCATCACTCATCGCTCCACAACAATAGTTCATGCTCGTCTGGAGCGCACAGCTGTTGCCATCCAGCACGAGATACAGTCAGAGGGGGAGATTTTGCAGACGCTGACACGTTGGTCAATCAAACATAAATTATATAAAAATGAAACCGAAAGTGCAGGTCTGTTTTAGAACACCAAGTCATTCACTTTATTTGCAACCTCAGCGGCCAGTTTGGTAGTGCTGCAAGGCCAAATATATCCAAAGGATATCAGATTAATTTGCAGCTTTACTGTATGCATGTCTTATCTGTCATGAGCTTGGAATGCCATAAATCATGCACCGCCGGGCACATGGCAGGAGACCAAGTTAACGTAATCTGTTACTGGCGATGTAATGCTTCGCTATTAGGGAGTCATCTCTGTGGAAGCAGCCTCCCTGCATAGGACACACTGATAGCAAAGCTTATCATGGAAATTCAGTCGTATTGAAGTGGTTAGGAGTTTTGATGACTGCTGGTGTCTTCTGAGCACTTTGTTTCCAGAAATAAGAAAAGAAAAAATATATCTGCAACTGTGATAAACATCTCCAGAGCCGCAATACATTACGTGTCTGTTCTCCATCAAGCATACTTTTGAAGATAGAGCGCTGGTGGTACATATGGACACACAGGACAGTGCCTCCCAGAGATTTGGCCCGCATGTGGTGACCACTTATTCCTTTCAAACTGGGCCCTTTCATCAGAGATGATCTCCTCCGTGTTCTTCCACATCAAGCAGACACTTTAGACTAAATAATTTGCCTGCAAGCTAACTGTGCACCTTCAAATGCTGCCTAAACACCCCTGCATGCACAGACAGGTCTATGTTTATGTTGGCTTTGATGCAAGGAAACGCATAGACAATATTCCTAAGAGTCTGACTGCAGCCTTTAAAAGCTGAGTTCGCCCAAATCACAAATAAAACATGAATTCATTGGTATCTATTCATGTAGAAAGTTTTGGTTGTATTTGTCTAGTCTGAGACTTCTGCTGCCACCACAGTTGAGTAGAGGTGCAATGTTGTTTGCGGTGCTCAAAGCTTTGAAATTTGACATTTGAAAAAGCCCACAGCAGCATGCCTTTTCAGACACAATGTCCCAGAAACTCTATATAATACAAAAAAGCCCAATGTTTGCAATTTTTCCTAGAAGCCATTTTCCATTTTATTATGATTTGGTTGAACAGACATTTTTTCTAACATAAAAGTCACAACACGCTGAGCTTTATAAGAGGAAGAGACATCCAAGGCTTTTGGTTTTCTGGGAATTACATTCTAAAAGCAGTTGCTTGACAAATTCAATGTGTTGCCTTCTTCCAGGTGTTGTGAGTGGTCATTGATCTACAGTCACTTTAAATCAATATTGTCTTTGTTCCCTTTCTTTCACTACAAATTGGGGAACTGGACAAACAGAGCATGATTGGTTACTTTCAGTACCTGATTTCTAGATTTCTTTCAGAGTAAAGGTCTGTGGAGTAATAAAGGGGGTCTTGGGTGCAGGTTCCAAAGGAGATTTTTACCATAAATCGGCTTTAATGAAAACCTTAATATTCTGCAATGTAACAACAAAGGATTCTCCTGAATAATTGAACAATACTAGAGGGTTATGGTATCTTAAACATATTTTCATATTTTTTGTAAGAAAACAGTTTTTCCACTGTGGCTGGCTGTAAATACTACAGTACACATAAGCAGCCATACAAAGTATGAATAATGCTGCGCTCATGTCATATTGAAATAACTGTGATTACCAGTTTCCGACTTATAAATAACATTCATGTCAACGTCCAGGGCATATTTACAGACTCTTCTGAAAATCCAATTGTCTATATTCAACATACCGCATACGAAAGTGCCCGAAAACCAATAACGGATGGGACACGACTCACTATCCAGTTATCCAATTACATGATAATACAAAACCTCCTCGTCTTTCATTGGTGTTTCTAAAGAAGCTGGACTATGACAATGTTTCTGCTATATTACATGTAAAATTGTACAAAAAAATACAGAGATAAAGACTGCCACCTTTTTTGTGCTTATGTTTATAAGAAACAATGTATAAAACCCTTTCATATCGAAGGTGAATACAGCATTGTGCTGCATAGGGCCACCGCGTCACTTTGAGTCTTGAAAGGCACACACTGTCGCCTTTCAGGAAATTACTTTGTGATTAGAGAACACAGCGTGGCATTGTCCACACCCCTTTCACTGTTATTACATTAAGAAAGAAGGAATAACTCTGTGACATCTATATTACCCGGTTTGCTCAACTTTAGCACAGTTTGTTGTGTTCTGAAAAGCTATGAGAACCAGAAAATGCAGTGATGCTAACAGACGTCCACTGTTTCTTTGTGTTGTTCTAAATCAACATAAAAGCTCAGCTGTCAGATGAAACTATAGCCAAAAAATTGATTTGAATCAAGGTTTTCTCACTTGATGTGTCACAGTGTGTAATAATTCAGTAAAGCACTCATAACTGTGTTTGTGTCTCATTTGGAGGGTTTTAAAACCTCCTGGATCAAAAGAGTATCTTCACTCCCATTCCACTTGTTATTTCTGTCAGAAGAGTCCACAGGGCTGACTCGGAAAAGCTAAGCAGTAGCCTTGCTTTGGTCAACCTGCCAATTCAAGTGTCACATGTGCGTTTGAAAATTCACTCTAATTTGCTCAACTGCAAACATCCATTAGTAGCTCAGCTCACGTCCCATCCCTCCACTGTAACACAGCGTGACACAGTTGGCCGTGATGATACCAAATGATTGCGTTAGAGCAGAATGATGAATAGAATGGTGGTAATGCAGGAGACACACAATGCTCTGGACGAAGAGCAAGTCTGCTGGGATTATGGCCTTTCATTTTGAATTGACTTTACCTTGACAGACCTCAAATACCATCAGTGAAACCAATCCATAACTGTGGATGCTTAAAACAGCTGTTTAAAGTCATATTCCAGCCAAAATGTGCCTCTTTAGAATCAAAACTAAACTCTTCTAGGCTAAAAATGGCTGTAAAAGGTCTGTGGTTTGCTTTTTCACTTCGGTTTTTACTGTATCAAAATGTTTTCAGGAACTTCTTAAACCCCTACTGTAGCGTAATCCATGTCTCTAATGTCTATCCATATGTTCATATGTTCCAAACACTCTATTTTGACTAAATAAAGTGCTTCTTAGCATCTCCATTTTGGATCAGATTCTAGGTTGACAAAATACTTGGACTGCTAAGCTCCAACCTCCAACCAAATTCTTAAAGTAGTAAACAATCAGATAGCAGGTTCCTGATTTCAACCATGGCTATCTGTCGTTTTCACTAACGTCGCTGGTGGCAGTTAACAGTATATCAGTTGTAGCTTCTCTAGTCATTATTTCAATATTTACAATCAATCAAATTACATATGTGCATATATGCTATCACCTAACTCTGCAGTTCCCCTCAGCTTTACAGAGCTACCTTCATCAGCGTCAATTTCAGATGTCTACAGCTGTTTTAAGGCTCGGATCAACCAACTGTACACCAGCTGCCCGAACCAAACATAGTGGAGCAGTTAACATCATACCAGATCCGATAAGGGACTCATATTCGATCTCAACCCTACTGCTCCAGGCTTCACGTGCACAAACCTTTGAGCTTGGTCAAACCTGCTTGATTCCACAGTATCCAGACGCTCAATCTGCTGCATGTATAGTATAGAGGAATTGGCAAAAAATAAGTGTTTAGAAGGTACTGAACATACAGATGGACAGCAGAGAAATAATGCTGCGGGACTGGTTTGAGAAGTCCGTATGGAAGTTATACTTTTGTAGTTAAAAGGGGTCACATTTAGAATCCATGGTAACCAACATGACAGTGTCCTTCAACAAAGGACCAAACAACCTTAGAGCCAACTCTCAAACCTACAGGGGTGAATATTTTATACTTAAAGATACAGTAGATTTAATATGGAATATTGCTTTAATGTATGTCTTATGTAAGGATGGAATGCACATACAAGCTCAGGTCAGAATGCCAACCCATAACACTGCACATTCTGACATCTTTTCATCCAGCCACATCTTTCTCATCACTGCATTGATGACTTACCAGTCCGTCACAATTGCTGATAGCCACAGAGGCCTCCGGCATGTCACTCACGTCCCCGGTGAAAACACAGTCCCCGTGGATACGTTCCTTGGCCTTTTCCAAAAAGTCCTCCTGCCATTCCACAAAAGCCCCCGGGGCCACCAGCCTCCTGTTGGCCCTCAGGCGGAGGTGCAGTTCTTTCCCAAACACAGTGACATTGAAAAACAAGTGCTGAGACAAGGAGGAGGTGACCGAGGGCATCTCGGGGGCACCGCGGGCCACCCTTCTTCTGCTGCCAAAGGTTGAGGAGGCATCAGCAGCAGCAGGGGCACCAGCATCACCGCCTTTACTTCCACTTCCAGCAGAGACCACGTGAGAAATGTACCGGCCGTGGGAGTCTGTGCTGAATGGCACGATAAGACCATATTCACTTAACTTTCCAGAGAGTTTTTCTGATGGGACAGATAGTGTCAAGTGAGAATCACATTCACAGAGCTATGGCAAGTTCCTATGGAAAAACACTATAAAGCAAAATAAGCTGATTAAAATACTGTATCATAGAGGACAGAACTAAACTTTCATAGATATTGTTATGTAAAGCATATAAAGGGAGCTCAGAATGAATGCTCCCTTTATGAAACAGGGGTATTAAAAGTAAAGATAAAGTGGACATAAAGGAAAATCCAGCAGTTCAACAGTTGATCCAGAACAGGAAGGCTGTCAGACTTATTATGTTGACCTATCAATAAAAATAGACCCCCACATTTAGACATTAGAGTGCATTTCTATACATAAAGCAAATGCACAGCAAAAAAAAAAAAAAAAGGACAATAAATGGATAACTCACCATGCGTTTCTGCAGCGAAAATATGATCCAAAAATACTGGACTGAGTGAAAAGCACATGAATAAATACATACAATCCATAGCGAGGGCTATAGTGTGAGAGCTGCCACTTCAGCGCTGAGTTTTCCTTTCTGTTGTAAACTTTGAACAGTCCTCCTGAGGAAAAAAAAAAAAAAAACCACAAATGCAGGAGAAAAGTCCTCAGAGTTGAGCTCCAGCGAAGCAGCCGGGCATTTCTGAACGTTTTCCCTCTAAACGCCAAACTGACGGATACTCACAAGTTGTTTCCAATCTTTTGGCCTGTGCTGAACTGCATGGACCAAGTCTGCCCCATCCATTTAGGGAGCTAAGGGGGGGGGATATCTGGGGTGCTGATGACGACAACTCCCCGGTAAAAAAAAAAAAAAAAAA